CCAAAGTCACCCAGTGGCTTTCCTGCCTAAGGCAGAACTAGAATTCACCGTCTCCTGGGTGATTGGCCCAAAGTCACCCAGTGGCTTTCCTGCCTAAGGCAGAACTAGAATTCACCGTCTCCTGGTGATTGGCCCAAAGTCACCCAGTGGCTTTCCTGCCTAAGGCAGAACTAGAATTCACCGTCTCCTGGTGATTGGCACAAAGTCAGCCACTGGCTTTCCTGCCTAAGGCAGAACTAGAATTCACCGTCTCCTGGTGATTGGCCCAAAGTCACCCAGTGGCTTTCCTGCCTAAGGCAGAACTAGAATTCACCGTCTCCTGGTGATTGGCCCAAAGTCACCCAGTGGCTTTCCTGCCTAAGGCAGAACTAGAACTCGCCATCTCCTGCTTTCTAGACCAGCACTTTAACGCTACACCCAGTTAGCTTTGGATGTCTCCTAAAACACAATGTCCATGCGTCATTTATAGCAAACGTCCCCGCATAAATAACATTACCTTCCGGACATAAGACACTGCATCTTCTTCGGTGTAGACCTCAGCACTGACCCCTCCCCTTCGATGCCGGGCTTGGACCACCGGGTTGGGTGGTGGGGGAGAAACTTCATCGTCGTGAGAATCTGACTGAGAGCTGGATTTCTGCCAAGCCTGGATCTGTTTGTTTTCTTCCTGTGAAGAGGAAAGAAAGCTGGATAGATTTCCCTACTTCTACTAGAGCCATAGAGTTCCCGCAGGCAGTCCTCAACTTACGACCACAATCAGGAACAGGAATTTCCCATTGCTCCGCGAGGCAGCTAAGGGAGTCGTGCCCAATGTTATGACTAGTTTGCCCACGGTTGTTAAGAGAGTCACAGTGAATCGCCTGGTCGTTAAGCAAACCCGGTTTCCCCCCCTCCCCCATTGGCTTTGCTTACAAATGGTGATCACACGGTCCAGGGACACGGCAACCACTGTAAATAACACGCCAGTTGCCAAGCACCCAAATGATGATCACGTGACCCTGGGAATGGTGCCATCCATCAACCCGAAGTGCAAGGACCAATCACAAGCCACTTTTTCAATGCCGTTGTAACCTCTATCAGTTGATAAACAAATAGTTGTGAGTCATCGTCCCGTCTCTAGTTTCCATTTCCAATTCTTGATATAATAGTAGAGACTGTAAATTATTACAGGATTTCCCAGGGTCTTCAAAGACAAGCTGTCCCCCGAATACCAAACCACTGCAGAACAATAAATTGGGAGATGTTTGTCCGTCCATCCGTCCATCCTTCTATACCACCTGCCATTTTGCTTTTCACAGTTTTTTGATGGAGAACAATGAGGTGTCCCCCCAAATATCAAAACACTGCTGAACAATAGATGGAGAGATGCTTGCCCATCCATCCATCCATCCATCCATCCAACCACTTGCCATTTTGCTTTTCAGTTTTTTTGATGGAGAACAATGAGGTGTCTCCCCCAAATATCAAAACACTGCTGAACAATAGATGGAGAGATGCTTGTCCATCCATCCATCAATCCATCCATCCATCCATCCAACCACTTGCCATTTTGCTTTTCAGTTTTTTTGATGGAGAACAATGAGGTGTCCCCCCAAATATCAAAACACTGCTGAACAATAGATGGGGAGATGTTTGTCCATCCATCCATCCATCCAACCATTCATCCATTCATCCATCCATCCATCCCACCACCTGCCATTTTGCCTTTCACAGTTTTTTGATGGACAACAATGAGGTGTCCCCCAAATATCAAAACACTGCTGAACAATAAATGGGGAGATGTTTGTCCATCCATCCATCCTTCTATCCCACCACCTGCCATTTTGCTTTTCACCGTTTTTTGATGGAGAACAATGAGGTGTCTCCCCCAAATACCAAAACACTGCTGAACAATAGACGGGGAGATGTTTGTCCATCCATCTATCCCACCACCTGCCATTTTGCTTTTCACATAGTTTTTGGGAACAACCAACACTGCATAGCACCCAACTGGGCTTCACAATGCACTGTTGCGCCATGTGTGGTCACGCCAGACCCCTCCCAAGTCTTTTTACTGCTCTCATATTACACTGAGAGGATAATTTAGGAAATGTGTCTATTAAATAGAAGGCTGCGGAGGAGGAAAGAGATCCGATATCAGTGACATGTGGTTAATTGTCATCTTAATCATCTGGTCATATGGAGTCAGGAAATGACTTATGATTTGCTCATTCAAGGTAATGAGAGAAATTAAGAGAAGCACCTTGAGTTGCTTCTTAATGCAGTAGCACCTTCCCAAAAGTTCCATGGATCATCCATGTTCAACGTTCTCATTAGGAACAATTTCTATGATTATCTCATGAAGGAAATGTACATTAATAGATCAGAATAGTTCTTCCCCATGGAATGTCCCCAAAATGGGTACTAGGTAATCCTAAATGCTTAATCTAAATTCACACCATCCTTTTTCCAGATGTGAGGAATCACAACAGACACCCCAAAAGAAGCCTTCAGAGATATCTTATGATGCTATGCAAGACTCTTCAACATGTTCCACTATTCACTAAATTCCCCGGCAGAGGATTGGACTAGAAGACCTCTGAGGCCCGAAATAGATTGGGCAACCATTTGACCAGGATGGTATAAGTTCTCCTGCCTTGAGTGAAGAGTTGGACTAGAAGACCTCTGAGGTCCTCTTCCAGCCCTAGCATTCTACGTTCCATGTTCTTCCCACGCCATCATTCTACGAGTTTACAATTCGCTTCTGGGAATTATGGGCAACCCAGAAGAAGCCAGAGAAAAAAAGGCGGAACAGAAAGCCATCACGCCAGGCTCCCAACGAGAAAGTCAGCTCAAACTGCCCCCATGGAAGCCCTAAAGACCTTCTCAAAGCCTCCAAAACTGAAGCCAAAAACTATGAGACTCTTGCACAACAGAAGAAAACTTGTGAGGAACACCAAGTTCAGCACATCGTTCTTAGGGATCCACCAATGACAGCGTCGCATGCTCAGGCACGCACAACTCTCCAAGAAGTCCAGGGGTGTGACACCACAGCATCACTTTTGAGGAAGCCATGGGGATAAAGGAAAGCCATACCTTTGTCACTGCAGTTAAGGACCGCTGACCCGCCACATCGACCATGTTTCCAGAAGCCACAGCCGAGCAGAGGGGTAGAAAGCCTCCGGGCTGCCTGATTTGCCCTCAGGAAGGGCCTTGCCCATCCCAATTCTGTGCAACTGCCAAATGGCAACACACCTCCTCATCTTCAAAAAAAACCCCTCTTCTCCCCACCCTCTCAAGGCAGCTCCGTCATCGGAAGGACGGGACAGTTGGGATTCAGCTGGCTTGGGTCCACGATCCAGAAATGCAGAAGGCTTTACCAGCTCCCTGAAGCCGAGAAGCCACGTTATTGCAAGGGGGAAGAAAAAAAATAATCTCTCCGTTCTGCATAGGAGGTTTTCCAGGTGGAAAAATACTGCAGAGTTAGCATCCGGCTTTCTAATATCTGGAAAGACCCGTGTCATAGGTACGTTGACCTCAAATTGTGAACCCTTCCTTGCCAAGGACTCCTGCACGCAACCGAAGGTGCCTCGTCAAGACCGTCATCCTTATTTCTGCTCATGTCCTTCCCTCCAGTGATGATCAGCTAGCTACTCAGCATCCCCAGCTCCTACACCCCCCCCCTTTGATTCAAAACACACTTTGCAAGGTCCTCCCTGGAGAACAAGCATCGTTGAAATGGATGAGCTTAAACCTCGGTCCCTCTAAGGGAACGTCGGACTTGAAAAGCTGGAAATAAAATATTCAAACCGAAGGGGGGGGGGAAAAAATCAATGGCTCTTACAAAGTACGGGGTGAAATAGCAGAAGAAGGCATCCTTCAGAAGGAGAGGAGAAAGGTTCTAGAAGCTGCACCAGGATTAACCCTTAGCTGGGTCTTCAACCTCCACCCCCCTTCAGATAGGAGACAGAAAACAAGTTACCATATAGTTCTCTTCCGCCCCCGTCTCTTTACAAGAGCATCTCTGCTACACACAACTCCGCTGTCAGCTGGTGCAAATAAGAGACAGGCTAGCATTTCTATGCATTGCTAATTTACTGCTAGGCACACAAGCTCCTGTCTCCAATGTCGGAAGCCCACAAGTCTCAAGTACACACCAGGATCCACAGCTAAACTTGTCAAAAGAAAAACAAAAAGCACATTCCATAGAACAGGGGACTTTAAACACACAGACACCCCCAAGCCCTTTGCCAGGGATACACACACACACACACACACACGCACACATTCATCCCTCACCCCTAAATTCCTGTACCGGGTCTCGGGAAAGGCATAATGAATAAATCTTTCCCCCTGAAAGACCGCTTCTCAAAAGTGGATTCTTGCCAATCTTTTCAGAAAATTCCCTGTCAAAGGAACGTCGTCCATCCTTCACAAATACACAAACACACACACACACANAGAGAGAGAGAGAGAGAGAGAGAGAGAGAGAGAGAGAGAGAGAGATTCACACACAGTTGCCATGACAGCCCACGTCTCTGCGGGAATGAATGACATCTGTCATTCACAAGTACAGCTATGACGGGGGATGAACTTCCATTCCTTGAACATGTTGGACCAACCCAAAGCCTGTTGGGCGCCAAGAGGGCCTTGCTTGAGATTCAGCCTAGATTGAAGTCCTACAACCGGGTTCAACCATCCCACCATCTTAATAAGCAAACATTGACAATTCTGATAACACCAGAGAGACTGGAGGCCAAACAGGGTGGAAGAGAGACTTTCAATCATAGCCTGAAGACCGGTTTTCACACTTACGTTGCAGCGTCCCCTCGGTCGCGTGATCAAAATTTGGCAAATAGCATGAATTTAAGATGGTCACAGCGTCCCGGGGGGTCACGTGATCCCTTTCTGCGACCTTCTGACAAGCAAAGTCAACAGGGGGGAGCCGGGTTCTCTTAACGAGCACGTTACTCATTTAACCACTGCAGGGATTCACTTCTCAAGAAAGTGGCGAGAAAGCTCATACAAGGGGGCGAAACTCTCACTTAAGAACGGCCTCGCTTAGCAACGGAGATTGGGAACTTAGCTGTGGGCGTAAGTTGAAGATCACGTGTAGAAACCCAGAAAGTGGGCTCACTTAAGAACTGTCTCGTTTAGCGATGGAAATTTGGAACTCAGTTGTGGTCATAAGTTGAGGACTACATGTAGAAACCCAGAAAGTGGGCTCACTTAAGAACTGACTCGCTTAGCGATGGAAATTTGGGACTCAGTTGTGGTCATAAGTCGAGGACTATGTGTAGAAACTCAGAAAGTGGGCTCACTTAAGAACTGACTCGCTTAGCGATGGAAATTTGGGACTCAGTTGTGGTCGTAAGTCAAGGACTACGTGTAGAAACCCAGACAGTGGGCTCAGTTAAGAACTATCTCGCTTAGCGATGGAAATTTGGGACTCAGTTGTGGTCGTAAGTTGAGGACTACGTGTAGAAACTCAGACAGTGGGCTCACTTAAGAACTATCTCGCTTAGCGATGGAAATTTGGGACTCAGTTGTGGTCGTAAGTCGAGGACTACGTGTAGAAACTCAGACAGTGGGCTCACTTAAGAACTGACTTGCTTAGCGATGGAAATTTGGGGCTCAGTTGTGGTCATAAGTTGAGGACTACATGTAGAAACCCAGAAAGTGGGCTCACTTAAGAACTGACTTGCTTAGTGACAGAAATTTGGGATTCAATTGTGGTCATAAGCCAAGGACTACCTCTACACAGGCCGTACGGGATTTTCCAGCAAGGTGAGAGGCACCCAGAAGAAACCGCCTTGGTTTACTTCTCAGGGTTTCCGGAAACTTACATAGCTTTCTGCCTTGTGCACCGAAGGACCAGTCGCCAAGCCTTTGTTGACCCTCAGGGACCCTGTCAGAGATGACCCTGAGGCCCCACATGCTGGCCCTTTGATATGCATGGAGGCCATCAGCGTTTTGCCTCCTCTGAAGTGCATGGAGCCCGTCACGGACTTCCCTGCGAAATTGCTGGCCGGACCTTGGATGTTCATGGACCCTTTGACTGTGTTTTCTGGGTCCCCGTGAGCTGCTCCATTGACCTGGATGGAACCCTCCAGCATTTTCTCACTGTCTTCGTTTGGCATGGCTCCCTGGGACTTCGTTTTCAACATGTTTCTTTCTTTTTCATGCTGGGATGTTGGGTTTCAAGACTGGGCATTCCCAGGAAGAAATACACACGCCCGCGCACGCAACGCATGCATGAGATAAAGAGAAATAAAAGAAGAAGAAGAAGAGTAGGCAACCTTGGCTCTTTTATGACTTGTGGACTTCAACTCCCAGAATTCCTCAGCCAGACACGAGGAATTCTGGGAGTTGAAGTCCACAAGTCATCAAAGGGCCAAGTTTGAAGACCCCCTGGTCTACAGGGACAGGACCCCTGCACATTTTCCCCTCCAATCCACAAGAACAAGTAGTTGGTGGAAAACACGTGGGGTGCCATCAGCAATTCGATTCTTGCTGGCAAAACTGATCAACCCAAAGGCTGATTGGCAGAGTGGATCAGAGGAAGGGGGGAGGGGAAGGGAGTGACCATGATGCACTGCAAAGATGCCCATGTGAATGGGCACGCTTGGACCTCATCCTATCTGACAGAGGAGAGGGGAGCTACTCCTATCCGTTTCGTTCATCCCTTGCCTAACCGAACCCAATCCGCTGCTTGGCTTGTCCGATCCTCAGTTACCACAACACTCTGGAGTCTTGGATACGATACTTCTTGTGATGTTCCAGGCAGATGTTCTTGCCTTTTGGGGTCATACAGTCCAAGGCAACCTCCCACCAACCTCCATGGGAGGTGATGGGCCTGGAGCTTGATTGGCTGAAGGTTCTCCTAGGAAAAGTCAGGTCACAATCAGCTCACTGCTCGCCTAATAATCCGTAACCTCATTTTATTCATGGATTCGTATCCTGCTTTGTATTATTTTTAACCAATAACTCAAGGCGGCGAATATATCCAACACATCTTTCTTCTCTTATTTCTCCCACAACAACAACAACTTTGTGTGGTGGGTTGGGCTGAGAGAAAGCAATTGGCTCAAAGTCACCCAGCTGGTTTTGGTGGCCAAAGCGGGACTAGAACTCACCGTCTCCTGACGATTGGCCCAAAGTCACCCAGGTGGCTTTCACACCTAAAGTGGGACTTGAACGCACAACTGCCTGCTTTCTACCCTGGTGCCTTATTGCCACATCAATCACATACTATAGAATATAGATCCTCAAGAGCTAAACCAGATCAAGCAGATCTATTATTTTTCTTTTTAGAGTGACATCTAGCAAGTGACATCAGGGCTGGTATTTTTGACGCCACTTCCTCTGTTATCCCAAAGGTGCTTTCTTTTCAAAGGCAACTGGACTTTCTTGTTTTGCTAGAAGACGTTTCGCTTCCCATCCAGGAGGCTTCCTCGGTTCTGACTGAATGGTGGAGACTTGAAAGATTTATATTGCTTGCACTCATCTGGTCATTTGCACTTTTTCTGAGAGTCATTGAGGCCGTTTGGAGGTTTATCCGTGCCCTCCAGATGACTTATTTATGACGGTTGCCGTGTCCCGGGGTCAAGTGACCCCCTTTTGCGACCTTCTGACAAACCAAGTTCAATGGGAACGCCGAGATTCACTTCACAACCACGTTAGCAACTTAACAACTGCAGCGATGATTCCCTCGAGACGTGTGGCCAAAAAGGTCGTAAAACGGGGGCGAAGCTCACAACCAAAGTACCTTGCTTAGCAACGCAAACCTGGGGGGCCTGCCACCCACCTTAGCAAACAGTTCCCTTGATCTGACTCCGTAGGAAGCAGCTTCTCAATGTCAGACAAAACCTTTACTCTTTTCTTATTTTTTTATTTTTTTTTAACAAAAATAAGAAATAAATACCAGCATCCCAGCGTTCCCCCCTCCCCTCCGTTTGAAAGTCCCGTTTACCTTTTCCAGTTTCTCAAAATGTTCCCGCAAGAACTTCATTGGCCGGTCGGGTTTAGCAATGCAGAGGTTCACAATGCACTCCTTCAGGATTTGCTGGATGTTGTGCTTCTGAACATAGAGTTCACATCCTTTCAAGCTCTCGTCGTCTTCTCCTCCTCCGTTACCAGAGGAGGAAGCGGCCGCCATCTTGGTGAGGGTCAACGGATGACAACCCTGACTGAGGAGGAGGAGGAGGAGGAGGTGGGATGTGAGAAGAGGGATGACATCCATCTCCTCCGACGGAAAAGCCACCCACCCACCCCCTTCCAGCTCTTTGCAATCATCTGGAGCACATCATGCATGATCTCCCCCAAAGCGCTGGAGCACCAAAGCGTCACATCGCAAATGCTCCATGGGTTACAAATCTCTTTCTCAGAGGCTTGCTAAAAATGCAGCCTCCGTTTATCCAAGCCTCTCTCATTCCTACAGCCTGGGAGCCCCAAGCCCACAGCTTTTGCAGGCATCATCCCTCCTGCGAGACAGACTTGCCACTGAAAGTTGGGGAACATAAGAATAGGGGCTCATAGAAATTGGATTTTTTCCCCCCTGCTTTGAGGCCTCAGAATCTACCCTCTGGTTCAAACTGCTGCACGGTCATCATATTCTTAGCAAAATTTATGCGTATCCCCCTGCCTCAGTTGGTGGGCAGATCCAGCCCCCAGATCTGTTGTAGCGTTACCTCCCGAAAAAACATGGTTATTTCAATGGGAGGGAAGCCACCTCTTCCTCACTGGGGCCAGCAAGCTGAATTTCTTACGTGGATTTCTACCAATGCTTTCTACCTTTTTTGCGATGTTTCGGACGGCAAGCCGGTCCAAAACAGAAAGGTTTTGTGACACCCCCTGGAATTGGCGAGAGAGGAAAAGCAGATTCCCCAACCTCGTCCGTGCAGGGATTTGGAATCCAAGATTCCAAAGGCTTTCAGCTCACAGGGACCCTGTCTTTGGAAGATGGTCAAGGCTCCTGAAAAAAACAAACAAAAAAAACCCCAAACACGTCTTCCCCAGTCAGCCTTCCACTGAATCTTAGTGGGCAGGATCAGAATTAAATTTTTCGACTCAATTCTCTCCAAGGTTTTCTGCTGTCTTCAGAATGAGGAGATTCCTGTTTCGTTTTTGGTTTGCTTTGTTGTTGTTGTTTTTTTGTTTTTTTGCAAAAACAAAAAACAAGCACCCTTTTTCTCAAAAGAGCAACCCAGGATTGTCCAGCCTGATTATTATTATTATATTATTTTGAAATGGCAGGGCAAGGAATTTTCCCTACGCTTGCCTTTGTTGTCCCTTGTTAACTGTATGGAAAGGGAAGAAAAACCTTCAGATCTTTCCCCCCTATAAACCGTTGGTCCTTTCCCTCCATCAGCAACAGCTCTTTTGTGCAGAATTAAATCTGAGCCGTTGTTGCTGGGAGAAGGAGGGAATGAGGATGGAGAGAG